AAAAAAAAGAGAGATGTGTAAGCGCGTGTAAAATAAAAATAAGGAAAAACAAAAAATAAAAAAATGGAGCCAACTCAAAAAGGCCCCCGTAGGTACTCAGTCACTCACACTTGTCTTAACTAGAGGCTTATCGGAAACAACGGTCGGCGAGCGGACAAGGCGGCGAAACGAGGGGCAGAAGGAGGGGGAGAATGAACCATCTGTCTGGATTAATTATAGTTACAGAGCTAGCACTAGTAAGTATGGAGGTTACTACTACTTCAATCGGCCCGTTTGAATGGCTCAAAAGGAATGCAGAGTGGATTTGAAAGGGTAAGGTCAAGTCTGGTAGCAGCGTGGTAGCAGCGCCAAATCTGGAGCTCTGGTAGTATTGTCGTTACCACCTCAATACCAAAAACTTCTTGATGGTCAGTACAACTTTCATCAGCATCATCACTAGGTAGGAGGAAGTACTGGACGATGTCCCCAGTCCCAGAAAGAAGGGATCGGCCGGCACTGGGGAATGAACTCACCGGTGATATAATATACAGAGCAATAGGTGAAGTAAACTTTACTTAGTTCCAGGTACTGAGGACTCGATCCGGACGAACCGACACGAATCAGCGACTCGGACAGCTGTGGAGTCTTCATACGAGCGATACCTTTTTTACTTTCACTGCTGGAAAGAGGGACGTAATGAATGAATCCTTTCGTTCGAGCGTCTACAGCTGGTTCTGTGAGATCAATTCGCGGTTGGGGAATTATCGGAAAATTCAACACTCGAGCTATAAATAATCTGTCTGATCTATCGGTTTATCCATGTCATCTAACCTACGTCCAGCTCATATATCCCGATAAAGAACGGTATTGGCGCCGGTACGAGACGGTATCAGGAACCCCAGGGTTTTGTTGTTGCGGAATGAATCCAGGATGTGGTCAGCCAGGTGACGGGGGGACTCAAGACTCAAGAGAATCTTGTCTAGGTCCTAGTAATTCGTAAGGCTGGTTGGCGGTGGGGAGTAAGGGTAATAGAGAGCGAGTCTCGAACCTGATGGTCTCAATCGTACCATGGATCTAGCCTTTCCAGGGTCCAGAGGCGTTCACACCCTCTGTCCACGAAGGTAAAGGCACCAGGAACTTGCTTCAGCTGCAGAAGAAAGAGATGAGGGGAAGGAACAATGAGCGGGTGAAATATCCCATGAAATCCTGGGGATTAACCGTGGCGTGGTTTCTTGCGTTTCATGAATCATGATCTGGTTCATGGAGGAGGTCCTGGCCAGTGACCAGAAAAACCGAACGGCGCCGACCGGTCTGTTGGACTTGGTGACGTCCACCATTCGAAGTCTATATCATGGCAAACTTTAACCCCATCGATATAAGGGTAAAATCTCCCCCCAATGGCCTTGTGGTAACCAAATCATCAGCTGGTCTGGGGAACTAATCCAGGATCTGTTCGACGCAGAGTGCATGGCAAATTCTTCGGGGCCATGGTTCCCCACGGCCTCGCATCCATAGTTCGGAGTAGACCTGAGTTTCCGCTCTCACTTCCTGAACTCAGGTTACCCCTAGTAGACTGATCAAGTAAGAGACATACTACGGTATGCCGTTCAGGCTTTGTCTAGGCGATCCCAGCATCAGACCGCGTCAGCAATGCCAATGCGTATAGCTCGATTGTCAAGGAGCCCGGGGCCGCAGAACAATGGAAAATACGAATGGCATGGTTCCGACCCTTCCACTGGCCCAAGTGATAGGCGCTGGAATTCCCCGTACGATCCTTCGGCAGCCCGAGCACATGCCATGCAGAAGGAATAGTCCACACTTTGCAGGTACCTTACATTTAGGGCAGTATTTTTCATAACACGACAACGGACATGGATGAGTCGGTAAGGCTTAGGTGTAATGGGCTTTTCGGTATAATGAGATATTGGCTGTACTGTTGCCGGGATGGCCTAGTGATATGATTCTTGCTGGCTGAACAGTACTATCGGCGAGAGGTCCCGCGTCCGTCACTTTCCCTCTGCTATAAAGAAAACAACACCCTCCCCTTGTTTCTACACATCCCACTCACCTTTCGAATTGTTTTTAATTTTCAATTTCATTTTTTTTCCTTTATATTTATCCCCGAGATGAGACAGGCTGGGGCTGGAAACCGCCACTGCCGTTTACAGAGCGTGGGGAAGGCCCAACCCAAGATCTCTCATCTCTGCCAAAGTTTCACGAGAGTTTAGGAATGCAAACCTAGTGTGGATTAATTCTAATTCTAATTCTCAATTCTATGCTTTGACACAAAGGAAGAGGACGGTCTGATAACTGCAAACGGTCACGGGAAACAGTGGAAGCTTCCATGAGTTCCCCTCAATCGATGACATATACTTGATGCAGTCCGGCAGCCAATTGGCAACAAGGAACAACCAAGATAATGCTGAAACACCGGCGTTTCTGCACGTCACAGAATACAGCGATGATGTGCTCCATTGTTAAATCATAGTGAGCAAGGTTGAAGAACATCCCTGCTACCAGGATTGATGCCCCTGTTCGGTTGCCTGCTATTGGTGTCGAGTGCATAGAACATCCAGCAGTGAACTTCCGTCGAATGTATTCTATTTAGGTTCCCTACTAGTACCAGGTAAGTAATTAACTGGACTACCCGACCATCAGTTAACGGGGCGAGTAAGGTTACTAAGAGATCATCTAGTGTACAACGCGGACAGTGCATTAGTTCGACAGTAAAACACCCTCCTTCAGCACCTCATTGGACCAGCCCATGATCCGATCGTGGAGGTACCTTACCTCCTTCCAAGGGCCCTAACCTTGCTAAGGAAATTGCTCAAGGCCTAACAAAACAAAAATAGCGGTTATGAATCAGAGGGAGGAGTTTTTGTTCCCTTCGTGCTTCAAAGCCAACCCACAGCAGCGAAGTGGCGGGCAGAATTCCGGTGCGGAGGGGCTGATCGACGTGGCTGTCAACCAAACAGCACATCCGTCAATAGCTTCCTCCCAGGCTATGAGGGCTGCGTTCTCGTTTAGCCCCTCATTGTATCCAAATCTCTAAAAGGGACTGGGCCAAGGGGCATTGACGCCACCACCACCATCGAGGAGGGGAAAAGTTTACGTGGAGGGGTCTCCCCGTATCAGGTTTCGTCGTCTCCTCTGGCCTTTTTTTTCGATCTATCGAGAATATCTTTGGTTCGCTTCTCAAATTTGTTCCCCTTTCATTTGTTCAACTTTGCTTTTTTGCTTTTCTCTTATTGCTATTTGATCTATGGATTAAAGTTGGCAGGGATGATGATATCAAAACGAAATTTCGAGAACCTGGATAGATACGGTATGTATGGTCATGGAAGGAAAAGTCTTATCAGCCCGTTCTTAAACCTGGAGCGGGGTAAAAAGTCCCGGCTCTGTGGGTGTCGCGCACGGTCTTTGCCTACTTTAAGTCCCTTAATGATTTATAGTCCGGTATAGAGTAGTACACCGCAGGTACCTGCTCTAGTCGTTCGGTACTAATTGGTACCCGGTCCTAGTAGGGAATCAGGACCTACTTGATTGTACTCTGTAGGTACCCAAGTCACTGGTACCTATTAAGTTGTACCTGATTGACCCATTAAATGTGCTAAAATAGCCTCGGGTCTTACGTATACACGCCCCCAGATGAGACACCCCAAGACAATGTCTTGACGTCGTCTATTCAAGAAAGATCATGAGTCAATCAGGCCACGGTCTATACGAACCGGACCTGAGCAAAGAATATTTCCAGCCCCATAAAGTTTTAGATACGGAGCCAGTGGCGCATCAGCTCCCCCATCTAGTTCCAGGCACCTGTGGACATCTCCAGCATAGTAGTCCACCGTACCTGTCTCTCTACTCTGTATCCTTAACAAAGAAAATCCAGTCACGCAATCTTGACAACTAATAAAATAATCTACTATGATGTGGCAGCCGACCTGACTCATGACCATGCAAATCATCCTACATAAACCCACCTGCACCCATCGACACATGTGGCAAGAATGCGGCGTAGCGCCCGAAACTAGCCGCTGGACAATTCACCAAGAAGCATTCGTTGGCATCCATCTGCATAGCTGACTTTTGCTGATGGCTGCGTGGATGGATTGCGAATCGCTGAGGCTGACACACTCTACAGACATAGGCTGGGTTGTCCCTTGCGGTTTTCTTACACATCTTATTTTATGATTACAATTCTGACGATCTTCGTTTTTATGCCGACGATTGGCATTGCCCCATTTGATCAGCTGATCCCTTGTTCTTATGTGTACCTGAATTTTCTGGTTAGCAGGTTAGGGAAAATGTCACATGCAAATGCGAATCCATAAGGTTGTCTGTGCTTATGCTCTAGTCTGTGCGACGACTGAGGCGTCAGACGTACGCGTTGCTTCTGCGGGTTTGGCTTTTCATCTTGAACCTATCGGAATGGTTTTGGCTCGGGGTATAGATGTATATATTGATTTATGTATGTATGTACATACGCTGGGAGGTAAGTTTATATGCACAACCGTTGTTCGGGTGTAATGTAGATTTTATCTCGGATATTAAGCTATTTTTGTCAAGTGTCGTTTGAAAAGAGACAGTCTTATCTGTCTAGGACACTGGCCACGGCACTGACCATCACCGCTGCTTCTCGTTCCCAATTTCCTTTCGTTCCGGAATCGATTCCCATCCGTCCTTTATCGGTCGATGCTGGGAGTTGAGATCCCCGGAGGACACACTCTTTGATGTCCTTTTTGAGGCGGTCCCGGTTAGATCGGAGGGTCCTTGCCGAGACGCCACCACGGTTGATAATCTCCTGGACGCGCGAGGTGAGAGACGAGGCGAGGGCGCGCCAGAAATGTGATGGGAGGGAGGATGCGTCAAGGGTACTGAGCAGCGGTTGCAGGAGATTATTCTTATTACCACCTTGTGATTGGGGCTCGGGGGTAGGTGTTGGGGGGAAGAGTGGATGCGATGGCGGTCGAAGGCCGGCGAGGATGGATTCCAGCGCAAAGAGATCCTGACATTTGGTCGAGATCTCGGCGAGAGTTTTGTCGAGCGTGGGCAGCATGGACAGGGACCGGGATAGGGCGTTGAGAGACGACATGACGGCCGTGTGCATGTAGCCTTGCAAAGTGGAGAGGAGGAGCTCGGGTTGGAAGTCCGATGCCGAAGATAGATCCTTGGGGATGGGCGAGAGGAGGTACAGGACTGTGGTGGCGGAGCCGAGTCGGGCTCTTGCATCGCGAGCTTGTTTGTAGCTTGACTGGGTGGACATGGTGAACCGATTGATCGCCTGCTGTGCTCTTGACTTCACCATGTTTTCGGCGGGGATGAGCAGTTCACTCCGTAGTGTCCGGATGACCTTGACTCTTTCTAATCCGTGGCCTTCCTCCCCTGGACCCGTGGCCGTGAACATCCGACGGAGGCTCACAATCGTAGACGCAGCGCGTTCCAGAGCGCGGTAATCGTCTCTGCCCGGAGATGGGGAGGCTGCGCCATCGGCGAGCCCACCGCGCCCGGTCACCTCAGCAAGCTGGCCCTCCAGTTGCCTGCCGAGAGTGAGACAGCGCGCAACCGCTCTTGAGAGCCGCACGGTAGCGAGCGACTTCTCTGTGGCTATCCTCACCTCATCGGCGGCCTCCCACTTCAGTAAGACCTCTTTCTCCAGCCGCTCATATCCCTGGGTCACGGAGGAGACCTGTTCCTCGGCCTCCTTGAGGATGTGGCCTGCCGCAGTGGTTTGATCCCGCGTGTGCGTCAGCAGGGGGAGGGCTGACTTGGTAGTCAGCGTGTGAATATGAGTATCAATCTCTTGTAGATCGAAGAGCACCCGTGACAATGGGGTTGACAGATCTAGCGGTGTGTCTGTCGCATTGTTGGTAGCTACGACCAATGAATTGGCAAAGGAGGCGGGAGAGAAGTCCGGGTCCAGAAAGGCCTCATAGTCAATGTATGAAGGTTCGCCTTCTGCCATGATTGGGTCCGACTATTTCCCAGTGGCTTGTATTAATCCAAGGCAATAACTATCCCCAAGGTCAATTCAATATCAGACTAGACAGGTAAAAGCTAATAGCGAGTTTGGGTATCGTATTAGATGAAGATTGAGTGGGTAAAACAGCGTGTTTTCTCCGAGACACTTTCACGCAACAAAAAGTCAATACCATAGGCTAGCCATGCGACAGATCTAATGAATCGATGCCTCTTAACCCGGTCATGGTCAGCCAATTGCTTGTGGAGAGAGATCGAGTATGCGATGCTGTTGATCCGCTCAGAGGTCCATTCATGCCATGTGTCGGGACTATGCCTCTTTGGTCGCGGATTAGTCAGCTGTCTATTGTTCTCTCGCAAGGGGATGTTGTTTTTTATCGCGTATCTAGGGCAAACATATATGTATAATGGTATATATGTCCATGGTTTCATAATTGACTTGCTTAGATTATGTAGAGCTATGGAGCATTAGGTCTTGTGAAAGCAACCTTGGTTGTTAGGATGGGACAATACGTTATTGAGATTTAATATATTTCCAACTTAACCAGTATCATGCTCAGTTCGTTATTGTACATTGTCACCTTTTCCTAGGCTTGCTAGGACCTTTAAACAAATCCAAAACATTCAACAAGTGGCTAATTACCCAAAGAAGCTGTATAGCGCCCTATCCACTACATACCAGTGGAACAGTGAAGTAGAGCCTCGAAACAGATCTATTAGATCACTTAGCGAACCATCTATCAGACAAACCTAAAGAGCGTATTCACACGAGATTAAACTAAGAATCACAGCTTCCTTGATCTGATGACCTAGATCGCTGCAAACGGCGATATAGTCTACTTGGAAACATGGCAATAAAGTGGTTTTATGAGTGTGCCTTGAGAGCCTATACTCATATTTCTTAGCATGTCTGCTATTCGACCAAGAACCAGGACACTCTCGTAGTATGTATTATAGCTTCACTGATTAGAACATAATAGAGTTTGAGATATAACAATACATTCAGGATATGGTCTTAAGGCTTTTACATACTGCTATTCCCTGAGCACTACATCTTTTGAGAGCTTGATACATATCAATGCGGACATACTACATTCATGGCCTAGGGAATAATCGCTTAGTGTGGAAGAGAATACCCTACAGATTCTGACATTCATGTTTCGATTATGCGGGCTTCTTAGCATATTCGGTTTATATAAGTGATGGAAAGGCCATGGAGCACGGGGCATGATGGATCATACCCCTGCAATCTGGTACAATGTAAACTCTATGATATACCTAAGATTTTATCACTAAGAACTATTTACAGGAGCTCTTGAGTCCCCTCCTATATAGTGATCTCAGTGTTCATGCATTCTAGCTCATACTTCTTGAGATGTAGGATCGATGATATTGTGGCAATGCGGCGGCTCTGTATATATAAGTGTGGAACATCGTACCCGAGACGAAAATTAGATTGAATAAAAAGTTTACCCTGAGAAGGCAACGAGGGATTGCGCATGCCAATAGAGGCGGACGCGACATAAAGTCCTAAAATAGAAAAGCGATGCCAGACCAAACCACGAACCGCCCTAAGAAATGTATGTACACATTACGTATAAGAATATATCAATGATCTATAACCACGCCGAGTAAATGCAATTCTCTCCATCCATCACCGACCTGGGAGCTGCGCCGGTAACTCGTGAACTGGAGCATCATGCCGACTCTCCAGCTCATACCGGTACCCCTGCCCATCTACTTCAACGGGCTGACTTGACACGTATTTGTAGTCATGAATCGACGCATTCCCATCTTGTATAGGTGCCGGCTGAGGCCGTGACCGGCGCCTCATGAACAGCCAAACGAAGGCTGCAATGAGGGCCACACCGGCGACACTACCGACAACACCACCTGCAATTGCGCCCTTGCTTACACCTGACGACGACGACGAGGATGAGGATGTCTGAGCAGCTGCCGCGGAGGTAGTTGTAGCTGATGTAGTTGTGGCTGTTGAAGATGTTTCAGAGGCTGTTGCCGTTGATGACGGTAGTACAACTATTTCGTAGAATGATAAGCATTGAGATATCCTAGCATCTACATGGTGTATATGAATACATAACATGGGGGGTATAAAACGTACCAGTCCCTGAGGAGATAACCTCTAACCTTGTATCTTGGTCACCAAATGAGTAACCCGTGCCGGCACAACCATCATACTGTCCTGCCAGCGCGAATCCTATCGTATCGTGTGGACAGCAAAAATACCCCCCATTGTCATACAAATCCCATGTCGCATTCGCGCACCTCGGTTTCTGCACCAACGACTCCGTGCAATTTTTCCCGGCTGGGCAACAATCGATGTTGTAGGCGTGAGGGCAGAATGTACCTCCCGGGCAGCAGCCGCGAAACCCGCCAACGGTTTCACCACAGTCATTCTCAGTTCGAAGGCAGGAGCCGTTCTTACGGACAGCAAAACCGGTGGTCATCTTAGCCGTTTCTGTTTACAAGAGAAAAGAGAGAAATGTTGGTGAGATACGAGTCAGCGAAGAAAATTGAGGAACGAAGAAAAAGGAAATGAGCAGCGCCAACTAGGGCCCTTGCGGTCAACTTGTCAGTGGAGAACGAGCATTGTGCCATAAGCAACGGGTTCCCTTGTTGGAGGAGCGGTCTCGTGCCCAGGAACCAAGGGATTCATCAAGATCTTTTGACATTAAAGGGGCCCGAGGGTTCAGCGACCAGTCACGAACTTACGGTAGGACTCTAGAGGAGTTTTGCATCCTACGTTCAATTTAGTCTACTCAGCGTGGGCCCTGAGAGGTCCGGGATGTGAGAAAAAAAATGTCCCAGTGGATGTGGGTTGGGACTCTGACATTGTTTAGAGGAGACCCTTGATTCAATCAGGCAGTGATAATCATGATCATTGGGAGGATGTGCGAAAATAGCGTTGGCCCTGGGGAAATAAATGGTTTCTAGGGTAGGGGCCAGAGGCTAGTGATGGGGGCCGTTTCAGCCGCAGTCAATCTCGACGTAATCCAAAGGACTTTCTTAATAATCGGCTCGTAGCCTCAAGTAGTTACTTGGAGGGTGTTGCTCATCGCTATATCATTTCTCTCCCCATCACAAAAGAACCCGCCCGTTGGTCTCCTCCACAATGAGGTCGAACTCAGGTTGGAATTCGGTATAAAAATGATGCTGTGGCGATCAGTACATGCTCTCCCGAGGTTGTCGCAACAGGAAAGCCATACCGGAGTTTGTACTGCATTGGCCGTGTACTGAGCCACTTCATCATTGATGATCTTCTTCGGTACTCCATTGGCAGCGGCTGCTTCGGCCATCAATTGGGAATGACACGCATGATCCAAACTGGAAAGGAGGAAGGCTGCTTCATCTACTGTGCGACCTACGGTTAACAAACTGCGTACATCGTCAGCTGAATTGTACAACAATACGGGGACCAGAAGCAGGGGATACCCATGGTTTTGCAAAATGCATGCCATGTTGTCCTCCCCTAAAGCCTTCGCAATTTGCTGCCCCTCTTCCTGAGCCAATGCAATTCCACCGTGATCAATATAGACACCTAGTTTACCATAGAAGTTACACGCGTCTACACGCGTCAGTCACTCTCGCCATATGAGGGGATCCGCACAACCTGTGGAAGTCGTCGTACCTTGGGTGATCATCTCGATCCCCTTCCCAAATGCGCTCCACGTCTTTCCATAAACCCCATGCGTATGTGCAGCAGCAACAACGTCCGGTCTGGCCTTATGGATCTCTGAATGGATCATGAATCCAGCCTCGTTGATGACGGCCTGATTGCCTCCTTCTGTCACATAGCCATCTTGGTCGACAAGAACGAGATCGGAGGCTTTCATGGCAGAGAAATGTTTGGCGTAGGGGTTCATCCAAAAATGGTCTTTCAAAATAGGATCTGCGAGACACTGTCAGTATGTTTCTCGTGTCTCTAGTATTACTGTAAATAAGGAGCACTCGCCTCTCATGGAGATGTGTCCAGAGATACCCTCGCCGTGTCCATGCTTTCCGAAGAAACGGAACGCTGCCGCCATGTGCTCTTTCATCCATTTACGTTTCTCGTAAAGGTCTGTGAATACTGGAATTCCTGGTAATTTGAGCGTTCCATTACGGTCGCCACGGGCAGTTGCTTGGAAAACGGCATCCTCGACCGCAGGCTTCACATTCAAGTTACTGTAGTCTGCAGTGGAAACAACTACCTTCTGCTGGGTAATAGCTTCGGTTGCCGTTGAAGTTGACATATTGGCTCAGATACCTTTTCTATAAGATAAATAAAGTCAAAGTTGATAGAGTAACGACTGGAATCTCCAGTCGCGACAATGCTGGGGATATTTATCTCCACCTTCAAGTCTTATCAGGTGAGGTGGAATGCGGTGCCCCCACATCTAGATAAATGGACCTCGAATCATTTGGTTTTGATTGACCGGAAACGCCAATTCAGAGCGATTGCCATAGGCGCATATCGCCGACCGTACGGACTTTTGCCCGACAAAACAGATGTTCGTGGAAGGCGCATTTTTTGTCTTCCTTGGTGGGTTTGATACTATCCAGTAGTAGTAAATACTATCTACAATGATGTTTGGGACGTCCCACGTCCCTATGACATGACGCCATCCCCAAAAGCCATAAAGATCCAATAACAGGATGTTAGGTGCCAATGTGCCTGCACAAGTCCTTGAATGTCGCCAGAATGTAAGACCATGAAATGAACACTTCAGCAAGATGAGAGGATGACACTCGAACCAGAACGCCATCTATACAGGTGCCAATCAGCTAGGGTATACAAAAATTGTAAACATAATAAAATCCGGATGTAAGTCGGCCATGCATCAACGTCAAAATATAAGAGAAAGAGGGAGAAAAACGGATACAATCGAAGAACGAAAGGTCCGAAAGAAAGCTATACCGCTTGCTCACCAACCCCCTTCATTTCAGCCATCTCATATGCGTCACCTTCGCCCTGCAAGCTGCGTTCCCGGCCTCTTCCTCTGGACGGACTGCCTCTATCAGCTGGCGGTTGAGATGAACTTCCAGATGACTGTCCAGTACTGCTACCAGCTATACCGCCAAAGCTGATCGGCCTGAGTTCCCGCCATTGGCAGGCCCAGATACCACCAAAGGTCATTAGAGAAGCGCTGGCAAACTGAAGACCCCACCAAAGCAGGTTGGATGGGATAGCGTGGGTGTAAAGGGACGTCGCGAGAAGATGGAGGAAGTGGATAGTGAGTGCGAAGTCAGGAATGAGTTTGGACCGAACGACGAGGAGTAGAAGAAAGATTATCCTACGAGAGTTCGGTTAGCGGCGCATCCTTTTTACGAAAGCAAGGAAGGTGGGCAGCTCACCCCGCAAGACTATTCAACATCCACACCAAGCCCAGCATCCATCCAATCGTGGTGTCTCCTCTCAGTGAGTCCCAACTCAGAACCAAGTCTAGGGAGAATGGGGTGCCATAGACGAGAGTGGTAAATAAGATCAGGGCCGTCGCGGAGGCATAATAGGCAAGCTGTAAGATAGCAATCTTCCGCACGATCTTCAGGGGCGGAAGGTCAGTCCGAGCCCCCGCAGGAGGCCGTCGGCGCGGGGGCATGGAATGAGTGGTAACTGTTACACACTGGCTATAAAAGTCAAGGGATATTTCACCGTGCGAAGAACCGGTGAGATGTTGAGTTCTGGTCCGCGGAAAGACCGAGCATATACCCGATGCCTGCCTTTCCTTGGGGTGCTTCCCTCGTTATTGAGGGACTGCGAGTGGATATGACAATCGCGTCGCAAGTATATTAAGACCGTCAAGAGAAAGCGATGGTCTGTTGGGACAGTATGATGGGAAAACTGAAGAAGTTGGTTCCAGGGTACTGTGGCGCCACGAGCAGAGCCGCCAAGCGGGCAGAAAGGGACCGCAGATCATGCCGAACGGGAAGCGCATCTCCTAACTACGTCTTAGTATATAAATTTACTTGCGACGGTACCGTTCAGCCTACATTGCTACTCCCACGCTTCATATTCAGTTCTCGATTTCAGTGCCTTCCTCGCATCCCTCTTCTTTCCCACCATCATTCGCCAAAAATCCCCAAATCACGATGGGTTGGTTACCCTGGTCCTCCGACTCGAAGAACACCGCTTCCGATGGAGGCCGCATAGCCCCCGATCGGTCCTCTCGACAAAAGTGCTGGGAGGGTCGTGACTTGTTCTTCTCTTGCCTGGACGACAATAATATCCTGGATGCGATCAAGGAGGATAAGGAAGCGCGACGGAAATGCGGGAAGGAGATTGCGGAGTTTGAGTCGGCTTGTTCAAAGGCTTGGGTATGTGCCGCATCTCAGTTTCGTCTACCGTAATGAGGGGTCGATGGACGTGACTCAACACACAGACAGTGTCTAGCTTTCCCAATTGTCGTCCCTCATAGCGATCCGAGGCTTCCATTGACTACATACGGTACAATTGCTGACGATCAAACAAAACAGGTCAAATATTTCAAGGAAAAGCGGGTAATGGAATACAACCGAGACAAGACAATTGAGCGGATCAAGAAGGAGGATGCCGCCAAGGTCCAGGACTTGAAGGCACAGGGATGGAACCCTCGGTAGAACCTTGAATGGTTAGTTAGTTACTATGTTGGGAGGAAAACAACAGGGAGAGAACGGGAGAGATTTATTCCAAGCCAAAAGGCTCTGTACTACTAGTACATACCATTACTTATCAAAAGCTAATGCCACTCCAATCTTAATAATGTCCCGTGCTCGCATGGGCTCGATACCATTGGGCCTTTACATACGTTCCACTGTATATCGACTACTAATTGAGAAAACCTCTGTAGGTCTGGATTACCGCATACTCAATGTTAGTATTATTTGTCCTATTCATTACTCCAGCTGACTGCTATGCGCCCTAGTGTATCACAAGTAACCGTTGGAGAAAACCATATAATCAACACCGCGACACAGATAAAAGACACCGTATTCCCATGAAGATCTATTGTCCAGGTGTCCGGAGATTATAAGAATAGAGAAGAAAAAGAAAAGCCATTGCACTCCCTGTCGCAGTTACAGCGTAATAACCGAAGGAAAACGTAAATCAAAATCGACAACCAGACCATATGATCATCTCCGATGGCTGGAACCCCATGCCTTAGAAATACCTCAACCGATCGATCAAATTAACGCCATGCCCCATGATGTTCTGTAAAAGATGATAGAGCTCCGGAGAAAAGATGTCAATGAAGAAAAATAGGAAAGAAGATGGGTCATAAAATCATTGCTTCCATTTGCCCAACTGATTCATGATGTTCTGTACATGAGGACCAACGGTTGCCTGATTTTGCACCTGCTGTCCTCCCAAGCCCTTGGCTAGCAGTGATATCAAGTTGGGATCAGATACCATTGGAGCATTGGGTGCTTGGATTGGGAACGGTTGCGGAGGGAGAGGTTGTTGTGGGTTCGCGGGAACAGGCTGTCGTGTGGCTGCACTCAAAAGACTGGCGAGATCTGCACCGGCATTGGGTGTTGATGCTGTGGTAGAAAATGGCTGTTGCGCAGTTGGGACGGCTGCTTGCCGCTGCTGGAGCGCACCCAAAAGAGACTGTAGAGTAGGTCCGTCGAGGGACGTGATTAGGTTGGCGATGTTGGGGGGATTAGGAAGAGCTGGCAATGGGGCCTGCGGCACAGGCGGAGGCGCCAGAGAAGGAACCCCAAAAGCTGGATTAGGAGGGAATGGAGTAGGAGGCGCACCGCGCTGCACTGACTGCGCGTGGAAGACGATCTCAGCGGCAATGTTCGGTTCAACATCGGGATACTCTGAGGAACTATTAGCGGACTAGGCCTTCGTAACAGATTTTTTGGACAGAAAATAAAACACTTACCATTGAATCGAACGTTGTCTGCACCCCCGCTTCGATCGAAAACCTGCAGAGGAATCTTCCTGGAGAACTGGTTTGGACGGGCGAGCCTCACCACCGCGAGAACACCTTCGTTGATCTGCCGTTGAACGGCCGCATTCAGTGGGATTCGGGGACCCAACACCAAAACATCGACTCGAAGACCTCTATTGCGGAATGCATTTTCCACGTGGAAAATGAAATTTCTAGCAAACTGATTAGCAAGAGCCATATGGCGAAGTATTAGAACGCAAGGCTAACCGGTCTACCTCCTCCAAGACGAGAATTTGCACCTCGGGGACATCTCTTGGGGCCCGTCTGGGCACTGGCAACTCTACCTCACCTTCATACCCGCGGCCCGTGGGCTGGGGCTGCGGTATCTTCGGTCCCTGGCATAGGGGGACCGGGACCGGCGTCGTTCCCGTCGATCGTACCGCTCTGGGGTTCTATCCCGGGACCGGTATCCGTCCCGTCCGCGGAAGCCACGAGGGGACGGGGATCGAGGAGGCCGATAGTCATCGCGCCTACGGTGAGTAGGCTCATCTCTGAAATCGCTAAATGGAACTCTCGGTGATTCGTATGGTCGGTCATAGCGATCTGCAGGAGCTCTAGGGTTGCGACTGCTGGACGGACCCCCTCTGCTGTATTCGGGAGACCTCGAACGCCTGGCCGGCGGAGCGCGGGAAGGTTCTGCAGGAGCTGGGCCTGGCCTCGTATTTCTCTGTGGCTTGGATATTTCAAGGTCTAAGAGGTTCCATTAGACCGACTGAGCAATTTTAAAGTCCGGATGGCTGATACTTACGAACTTTGCGCCCCCTCACCACAGCTCCTTGCTCTACGTCGAGCGCTTGTTTGCAGGCTGGGGCCTCCAGAAATTGTATAAAGCCATAAGCCTGCTTGATAGATATCTGCGCTAACTTCCCGTACTTGTGAAAGATATGAAACAGATCTCGCTTGGTCACTCGTTCGGTTGGAAGGTTGCCTGTTGTTGGGAACATGAGACGTTAGTTACTCCACTGCCAGGGTCCAAGATGTGATTTGTAATACTAACCGACAAATAACCTGGATCCCGCTGGGAAACGGTCCCAGAGTCCTTCTGTGACGTATACCCTCTCATCATGTAGAAACTCGTCATACTTCTTTTGTACATCTGGGCCCCAAGGGGCATCATCATCAGCGCTTTTAGATTGCCGAGGCTGCTGTCTATCCACGCGCCCAGCCTTATTGGACACTGGGGAGGAAGGTGTCTGCACCTCCGCCGTGGCCGGCGGGGACTGCTGAAAACTAGCCACGGGAGGAGGGGGCAGGCTACTGACGCCCGAGGTGGTCCCTGGAGCGCCGGCAGCTGCCAAGGAAGGGAGTGCGGGGTTAGACTGGTAATTACTTTGCTGGGCAGAGTAGGAGGGTTGGGCGTTAGACGCATGAGGGGGAAGCTGATGATACGAGCGGATATCATCGCTGGGGTTATAGTTGGGATGGATGGAAGGCTTCTCCTGGGGTGGGGGACGAGGAGGCAAGCCCAGGGAAGATTGGAGAGCTTCATCAGTTGCTTGAGGGTCCGCAGAGACGTCCCCGAAAAGAACGGCCTCAGATACTGCAGGGGCAGAAGGAGCGGTGGAAGAAGGGGGAAGATTATCGAGGAGGTTCTGGAAATCCACACCATCCTCACCAGTGTTATGTGGTCTGTTGCGGGTGTCTAAGCGATCCTGTGGAGCCGACGAAGCTGCCCAGGAGGAGGCTGCATGGTCTATTTCGCTCGCAATGGGAATGCTTTGAGAAGCATGGGGAGCAGAGGGAGGGAGATCGGGGAAAGGGTGGTGAGTTATATGGGTGGCGGGATCTGATGGAGGAGCAGTGGTTAGAGATGAGTTTGGTTCGAAACCCTGCGCAGCAGAGGTGGTCGCAGTGGCCATGGAAGAAGCATATGCAGATTGGTCTGATGGCAGTGATGTATGGGAAGACGAAACCGCGTTCTTGTTCATTGAACCATCGTCCGCCTGAAATGCACCAGAGTGGTGGTAGCTACCTTGTGTTTGAGTTTGGAATTGTCCTGGAGTCTGCACGGAGCCATAGTTTCCTTGCACCCCCCCAGACCCAGCATAATGGGCATATTGGGATGGCAGATCATTATGCAGCTGGGCGCGGTGTTCAACAGCAGACTCGGACTTCTCATAAGTCGAAGTATCGTTGAAGACGGGGTCCATTTGATTCTGAAGCACTGGAATATTGGCTGGTTCCGCGATGTGTAGCGGACGAGGGCTCTCGGGAGTCAGGGTCTTGCCTCGAAAGTGAAGAGCTTCATCTGGGGAACCGGGCGTCATGTAGACCAAGGATGAAGAATTGATTCATCTACAAAACCATGCGAAAAAACGGTCCCAAGAGCCACAGGGGATTAGGGATTTTCCAAAATCAACCAAGCTAAGGTGGGGCTAATCTTGGGAAAAAAGAACCGGGCCGTTTGGGAGCTCCGGAGGGCGGTAAAGGGAGGATAAAGATGGAAAATCAATGAGAGGAAGGAGAAGCACCACGGGGGAGGAAGAGGAACTGGCTGTTTGACCTGTTTGACGAATTATAAAACCAAGCAGACGGACACTCCCAATAAGCACGAGACAAACAGAAGGCAGGGAGGAGAAACCGAGCGAGGCCGATAAGGAATAATAATAACAAAATAACAAGGATAAGGCTCGGGTAGGTATATAAAACAAGACCGGGAGGGAAAAACAAAAGCTCGGACGTATGTAATGGAAAGATCTAGTAAGTATCGAAATGACAATCCGAGGGGTAAGCCCAGCGCTATGACAAGCAGATGAAAAGGATCCCTTGATAATTAGTCAACAATCGTACTATTAGTTAAACGACGCCAGAATTAGTAGATGGGGGAGTTGTTGGTAGTGTAGTAGTATGTAGTAGTTAGTAGTACAGTAGGGAGGGGAGGGGATCGGAGGGGGCGTGGTGGGAACGAGGGCAAGTGACTCGAAAAAAAAAACAAGCTAATGTACTCCGGGAGGGGTGACCAGGGTAACTGATGAAGATCCCTCTTTTAGTTGGAATCACACACACACACACACACACACACACACAAAAAATATATTAATTAGTTTAAAATGGGGTCGAGGAGTGTGGGAGGGTAAAAGAGAAAAAAAAAATTCGCATGGCAAGACGGACGATGGAAGATTTTCCATGTTGTAAAGTTACGGTTTGCGCACGTCAGCTTTACAATGCTGCACAAACTTCAAGCGCCTTTCCCGATCGGGTAGGGCGTTAGCGCGCAAGGTCTCCTCATGCCGACGGTATGACTGGATGGTTCGATTGCCAACCAGTCTTAGTGGCGGGTCAAGTCATGCTCTCAATGATTTCCCCTGGGACTGCTCGAAAGTTCCTTCATCATTCGTCAAGGGAGTTATTCTTAGAGTCAGGTCCAGACCCTGGTCAGACCGGAGCATCTCCGTCTATACTATAGCTGAATTGAGCAATCGACACTTGTCGGCATTTGTTATTCCTCATTTCTCTGAGTTCTTTTGTACCTTTCAGGTACCCAAATTGTACCGAAGAGTGGATTACCTAAGAATCTTGAACTCCTAACCAAGTTACCCCTCGGTGAGGGCCATCTGAAGGGGTTCTGTACCGGTGGAAAGCCCGCGGAAGTGGACGGTACCCAGCTACGAGAGGATACCCACTGCCTCACTTGACCTTCCCGATCGGCTATAGCGCCAAGTATCGGATTCCTCAGTCCCAGTTAGAACTTAGCACAGCATCTTTCCCGGCAACTAACCTTCAAGCTAAGTCGGATTTCTAGAAGATCCCCATGCTTGTTACCGGTTAGTATCTCATTCTTAATTCAATGTCCGAGTTGCAGGGATACATCCACTGGATACTCAGTACTCCGATTACTTCAACCACCAAGGAGAACATAACAAAAGAAACGAGATAATCTACTGAAGCATATCCGAAAGAATGGTTACGCTGCAGTTACGTCCTCGGATAGTTCATTGGTTCCCCCGTCTTCGTTCCTTCTCCGCTCTCACCGCAAGAACATTCGCTTCTAAACAAGCGGCCGCCACGGAACGCCTCCAAGACTCAAATGAGGATCTAGCCGCAGCTCGAAAATGGCTCACGGGACTCACTTTGAAAACCATCCCACGCCATATCTGTGAAATTTCATTTAGTCGCTCCGGTGGTCCTGGGGGGCAGAACGTGAATAAGTCGGTCGACCTCGTGTAAATAACCTCCGATTGTGTCGACCTATCACTAACTGGGCCTTGCGGATCTGAATAGGGTGAACTCAAAAGCTACTTTGAAAGTGCCTCTTCATTCTCTCTTACCGCTTGTGCCTCGAATTTTACACCCTCCGCTGCGATCATCACGATACTTCGCCGAGAGATCACAGAGTCTAGTCATACAGTCGGAAGAATCGCGGAAACAAGCCGCCAATGTAGAGTCATGTTACGAGAAACTGCACCAGTTACTTAAGAATACTGCAACAGATGCCATTCCTGGGGAGACGTCTCAGGCACAAAGAGTCAGGGTACACAAATTGTACGTTTATGCACGTTGCTGTATTGGCTTTGTTTCCTTTTTACAAATATCCTGAAAGTCTTCAAGCTCACGTTGTATAGGAAGAAGGCTGAAAATGAAGCTAGAATCAAGTCTAAGAAGCTGCACAGCAGTAAGAAGAGCAATCGGCGGGGTAGTAAATTTGATGAATGATTGACACAGAGCTAACTTTTATCTGAACCACCCATGTGCGATGATGAACTCCAATAGGCGCCTTTGCATGACAGCGGAGAAGTAGAAGGGTACGAACAAGAACAAACGAGGAGCCGCCGACTCTAAGGCGAGAGTACACGCTCCGCGTTGCGGACCGTGGCAGTAATGGCTTTTTGCAGAGACGGATCCAGACCTTCTGTGTTCTCCAATGGCTGCAGCCAGTTGATAACCTCCTTTGCGACAGTGGGGTTCTCGCGGTACTCCTTCAGCCGGGCAAAAGATGTAACCAAAGCCCGCGGGAATTTGGGTGATGTGGGCTGGATTCCGGCGGTAGGAAGCTTGATATAGCAAATTTGCGTATGATGACTGGTAGGACTGGACTGCTGCAGCACATTGACAGCATGTTCCAAGATTTTGCGCAGACATGGCAAGTCAGAAAACTCCACGGCCATGTCGAAAAACTCCCGTCCGAATTTAGCATCTTGTTCAAAGTTCTTCATTGCTGTATCGAAAATGGCCAAAGGGATAGCACCGCTCATTGCAGGTGTTGAGCGAAGATTCTCTAACGCTACTTGATCCACTCCACTACTATCTCCAGCGCTCGGATTGATATCTTCGCCGGTGATCTGTGGTAGCGCAATCATGTCGGCGTTAGGATCTTCAAAAGAAGCATCTGACGTCGGCTTCAGGGCTTCAATCTCTCTATCAAGACCCAGTATGCGCTGCCGAGCAACAAGCTTGGCTGTATAGATCAATTCCAGCTTTGCGTAGTGAATCCATAATTTCCTAGAGCTCTTGCAGAACCGTAGACCACGTTGCATGTGGCTTCGGGACTGCGTCATATCTGCATGGTCATCCAAAGCATATTGCGCTGCATATATCCACAGATCCACGTTTGTTGGGTGTAGCCGTAGGGCATCTTCGAAGATCGTGGAAAGCTTTTTGAAAGCTTTCTGGGCCCTAGCATATTCGATGTATTGAATCCATAAACCAATATCGCCGTGAAATTTGCGAGTCGCGCGATCCAGGATGAAGAAAATCCGCCGCTGGCCAGAATATCCCGCATTGCGAATACCGAGTCGCTTTACCCTTTTGCGGCGGAGAGTATCGAGGTTCATTTCGTATTCTGCATATCGTACAAAGTCGGAAGGTTGAGCACCACGAGCATTGAGCTTGTGCTCAAAGTCCGACCGTTTCTTGATGATTGCTGTGATCTCATCCTACTCAGTGAAAACGTAGTGTAAGTCTTTCGCATACTTTTAAGTGTTGTGCGATTTGAGGAAATACCTTGCTAAAGATCTTCTTTCTCTCATATTCTTTCAGTTCAGGTACTGACTTTTCTAGAAAGAAGCGTGCTTTGTCAGTAGCGGCAGACATGGTTGCGATTGTCGTTGCTGCAGAATACCTCTTTGTGATTAAGCAGCCACAACGGAGTGATAAAAAAAGTTGTCGGTATCCCGCAATCAGAAGCTCCGACCACGTCGAGTGCCTGTCCGCTTTCCTAACTCGAACTAGCGCTTATTTACACCCGCAAGTTACCGAGCCTCAGTTCCATTGTCAATCATCTCATGCTCATCTGGCTCAGGGGTTCCTGACCATTGCTATCTGAATTTCCGTTTGTTAATTTGTTCGTTCTTTTCATATTCTTATTACATTCTTGACACTCGTTTGTCTCCTTAATTGTTATTCATTCTCTTCGCTTCCTCCTTGTTTCGTCGAGTGGCCGGGGGCTGGTACGCCTGTCTTCTTCGCTGCCATGGCACCCAAATTCAAAGATGGGGATGCCGTTGTAGCGGTTAGTCTTGGCTATATCAAGAATTGAGGTACTTTGGAGAGTCACTGAACAATTGCTAGGTTAATGGGAAATGGGTGTCTTGGGCGCACACAGTCGCTGCCTATGCGGCCTTCTTCAGTGCCTTGGTAGTAGGAATGTCTCTGCATTTCAAGAAAATCGTGCAAAACGAACATTACGGCTATCCTGACGAATGGTTTCCGTCGGTGTCAGCAACGATCGGTGATCGCTATCCGGAACGATCCTTCTTCCAAGTGTTTATCGCTATCACCTCGGGACCTCGGTTTGCTCTAGTGTTCCTTTGGTACATTCTGACCTCGCGCCCCAACTCAGCTCTTCCTAAGTTTATCGCCGGCGTTGGGTTGTTCCGGACGTTTACATGCGGTGGTTGGACGTACGTTACATCGACGGACGACCATGATTGGCATGATATTTTCATGATCTCTTACCTCGTTGCGACGTTACCCTGGACACTTGGCTGCCTTGCGCTCAGCCCGAACAACCGTCGAGCTGTGAAGTACAGGAAGGTCTTGGCGAGCTGTTTCTTCGGAACTCTTGTTCCATTGATTTACTATTTCATTCAGCACAAGGTGCATAAGGTCGCGGGAGGTATGTCTGTCGTTATATAGCTTCTTTAGTCCCTTGCTTCTAACGCTATTACTTTTAGCTTACACCAAGTATGCCTTTTTTGAATGGTCTCTTATACTGTTTGATGTGGGCTTCGACGCTGTCACTGCACTCGACTTCGACGCATTTGAGATCGTGGTCAGGGATGTCAAAGGAATTAGCAGAGGGTATGTACAGTGGCTTCCGAAGTAAACCGAGAAGAAAAATGTACGGTTGCCAAGATGTGGATGTTGGTATTTGAGAAGAGTGTTCTAAGGTTTAATCTCCAGGCAGTTGAAGACCACTGCAGACTCCGTCCTCGAGAAAGAGTGTGTATAATCTACTCTCCAAGGCTATCAGAACTCTTGGCAATTAACTCGTAGCTAGGAAAGGAAAGCCCGTTGGAAATACGTTCGGCGAAGGTTTCTTTTGGACAGAGATCATTGATGCAGCTGCAGACGCTTACAATATGGTAAACCTTAGACTGGCCTCACAAGTGGACCTGATTACTGACCAAGTGTAGTTTGTCTTCTGGTCCTTGTGGACTGCCCTTGGTGTACTCGTCTGGTGTAAGTGTCTGTGGAGAATTTCTCCTACAATCCTCTGACAAAGTTAGACTTCCCTCTCTGGCATATGGGTATCTCTGGCTACGAGTTGGCCATCCTAAGCTATGTGTCTCCGGTCCTCCTGGTTATTCCCTCCTTGAAGTCTGCCGCGACGAGAAATCCTCGTCTCTTCCATTTTCTGTCACTTTCCGGGCTACTGGCGTATAAGGTGCAAGACCCTGCCAATCGACTTTTTATGACCACTTTCGCAGTTGCTTGCAGCTGTATCGCATGGTCTGCGACACTATATGCTGAAAGGGCAAACAGCTCTAGGTTAGAATCCCGTATATTTGCATGGGGCATTGGTTTGATTATGTCGAGCATTGCTAAATTTGCATGCAAAACGAACAACCCCATCTGGCCTATCATGCATGCAGAGAATGGAGGATGGAATAAACTGGGACTTTTCCTTGGTGTCCTGGCCGTCCTCAGGTCGCACAGAAGGCCTCCGACTAATGGAGGAGACTACTTCCCCTCGAGTGGCAGGAAAGGCTCTTCGTTATTTGCCGCCTTCGGTATCGGCGGTCTGCTTTTCGCGATGCATTCCCTCCTCTCCGACTCCAGCACCATGATCGCTTGGGTCTGGGAGGGATATCCTGTGCGCGGCCCTATTGCAGTACCTCATGGTGCACTCACTATCCTTGTAATGGGTGCTGGACTTATTTATGGTCTGTATTATCCCGGTGTTGCTGGAAGCTGGACTGCATATGGGATTGCGTCTGTTGGTGCAGCACTGCTTACTTGCTCCAGTCACTGGACTGGATTCTATGGTGGCCTTATTCTTGCGTTCTACCTTCTTGCGGTCACTCCGGTCTTGGTTTCGTCGGCTGTTCGCCACTCACTAGCTAAAACCTTTGGTATCGGTTTCCTCCTGTACACATTCCTGATTCTTTTCCATGTGTGGGTTGTTGCATACGCCTTCGTGCCTGGGGGGCCTCTCGTCAGAGAACACACCGATTGGATCATGATCACCACTATGTTATCGATTGGAGCTGGTGTCTTTTCTGCTGCTGTCACCAACTCATCCGGTACTAAGAGCAAGATCGTCAGTCCGAATGGCAAACGACAGCGGTCATATTTTATCTATATTCTCGCGGCGCTGCAGCTTATTTCCATGGCTGTTGCATATCTTCGCTTCCCTACAAACGACTATGTGCCATATCACAAAGAGGATAAGGTTGCGACTGTCGGCATTTGGACAGTTCACTTTGGTCTCGATAATGACATGTGGTCATCGGAACGGCGTATGCGCAATGTTATTCAGGAACTTGAGATTGATGTTATTGGCCTTCTTGAATCTGATAACCAGCGCATCATTATGGGCAATCGCGATATGACCCAGGTCCTGGCGGAAGATCTTGGTATGTACGTAGACTTCGGTCCTGGTCCTAACAAGCACACTTGGGGCTCAGCTTTGCTTTCCAAATTCCCAATTGTCAATTCTACTCACCACCTCCTTCCTTCTCCTGTTGGTGAACTTGCTCCAGCCATTCATGCCACCCTTGATATGTATGGCGAGCTGGTTGATGTTGTCGTGTTCCATTCGGGACAAGAAGAAGACCCAGAAGACCGCCGCCTCCAGACCGAATATTTGTCGAAGCTAATGGGTTCATCCCCTCGCCCCCTTATTTTGCTGAGCTACCTGGTCACAAAGCCACTGGAAGGTAATTACAATACCTACGTCAGTGAACTCAGCGGCATGAAAGACATCGACCCTACCGATTGGGACCGATGGTGTGAGTACATCCTCTACAAGAACTTGAGGAGGACTGGCTACGCTCGTGTTAGTCGAGATTCTATCACAGACACAGAGATTCAGGTAAGTCTTGTCGTGCATGTCATGTTTATGCCTACAGCCCTCTACGGAGGGGGTGTGGGGAAGCATCTCAACTTTTGCTGACTAACTCCTGCGATAGGTCGGCAAATTCGTCATTGGAGAACCCGAGCCGGAGAATGAGATGCGACTGCCAGAGGAAATGGTGCCAGAAGGCCGTCGATTCCCCGCGTTGTTCCGCGGACAAGGGGTCCGCGGTCATCGTTATCATGTCTTTGATGAGCCCAGGTATTGGCAATGAATGCCACATGAAACGGTCAGGAGACCCTGACTCCTTCCCTCTCTGGGCGGCTCAGGTTTCCGGAGCCCTGGATTATTTGTATATTCTACGACGCGAAAACTTCAACCCTTTGATGGCTGGTTATTCGTGATATTTGCCACGACTATGTACTGTGAATCTCAATAAAACTGTTTTTCATAAAAATTTCTATATCTGAATTTTGAATAACGGCGGTATGTTCCTACTTTTGAAAACGGGCAGCCTTTGTACAGAGCACATGGGACTTGGTAGCAGATCCTAAACGCATTGGCTAGAGAACTTATTGATGTGGTCATTGACGTCTACCAAGATGAACTCGTCCTGTGTTCTTCCATCACGGATCACGGCCCATGTAACCTCTTGGTAAAGTCAAACCTACCCCCGAACTGGTATGTGGAATGTGGAGATCACACCGTTCCTACTTGGTGTATGTGGCCGAGTACATATGACAAAGGTATGAGCTTCCTGGGCAGTAGCTTATGATTACCCCATGACTCCTCAGGGAGGACAGCTCGTTTCACTTGGTCTTTCGAACAAGATATTCCGGCCGCAAAACTTGTATTAAGCCTTAAATAAGAGCATTCCAGCCCTGCAGACTGAACTGCTGATCCTCGCGCCTTGAGCTATTGCACATTGTATTCTTTATATACCGAGGAATGCGTGGTTCCTTTGATGATTGACGTTTTAGTGTTTGCTTATTAGCTAGCTTTCTGGCCAAATTTCAAGACGCAGTTAAGCCCTGGACACGAGTATCTCGTGAATGGCAACCCTTTTTTTTTCACATATTTCTATCCCCTCATTAGCTTTATTTTCAGGGTTCACCTTAAAAGCAGGCACAGAGATGCTTCTGCCTACTTGTGCTTGCTTCTTTCCATTTTACCACTTGTCGGGTTCCCAGAACAAGAACGTGCCCAGAAGCCGGGTATTCTCGTGTTTTATTCGTGAAGACTTGGTGCACTTCATTTGTTTGGCTTATCTAGCTTTGATTTGTGAATAATACAGAGCCGACCAGAGGTACTCGAGCCCCTGTTCCTAGGTATGTCGTTAAAGGAGTTCCCCGTATATCCGTGTTAAGTATTTGCAGACCCATCTCCATCACGACGTATATTGAGAATATCCTGCAGTATATTGTATATGAACTTTCGCTTCAACCATACCTTGTCATTTGATCATATATAAGCAAGAGTTTGGGGAATGTATGAGCCCCCTAATCGAGGTTTTGTCACCACAGCGAGCCGTCGTATGGTGGACCGCATAAGATCCTTATAGCTATAATGTCAAAATCGCCAGCAGAATCGCACAGGCAAAAATCCAAGAAGGATATACAGCAACCGTCCAGCTCAAAAAGTCCGGAAGCTCAACATGTTGAAATGCCCTCTGGCCCTCGGGCGGGTTCACGTTCTAACCCGAACACGCCTGTTGATCTGAGCGATGAATGCCAGCTCTATTCGAGGACACCTCTTCCTTCGCGTACTCTGGCCAACGCACGAGCTGCTCTGCAACAACTAGTTCTAAAATCTAGATATGGCTCCTCAAATATTTTTGAAGATTCTGGCTCGCGGGGTTCAATTAATCTTCCTACTCAGCCGCCCCCTGTTAGAGTCGTCGGTCAGTCTGGTGTCTCGAATCTCAGAAGATCTTCTAGCCATAGCGAGGGCTTTGCTGTAAGATATGCTCAAGAACACACGCTCCCAGCGATCTCATTCGGGATCAATGCACCTATGCCACGTTGGCGAATCGAGCGTATTCATCCACTACTTGCACGGGGAAGCCCAGCGCTGCGATGGGTGTTCGATGCTAGCATAGACTTTGCCCAGTTTGGATGGTCAGAGGATATGGTTTACGAATACGCATACAGGTGGCTTGAGGAAGCTCTTAGCGATCCGTCATTTGGACGATACACGAGGTCCTACATTCTCGACGGACATGGCGAAAATCCGCTACCAACCCTCCCGCCAGCACCAAGTACATGCTATTTTAAGACATGGTCTCAATCATTGGGAGCCAATGATAGCTGGTATAAGCATCCGGACTATGAGCGTTCACGGATGACTTGGACAATAGGTACGCAGTAACAGTTCTGGTCAATTTTTTTCTCTTTTACACATCAACACTTTAGCGAGAACGAGGCTGACGCTTCAGAAGTTCCTGAGCAGCAGTTTTCGGGGAACGATGGAATCCGCAACAATCATATATTTGACTTTAAATCTTCTGAAGCTTGCAATGAGACAGATCTCGAGCTTGGCCGACGTAAGTCGATTCGTATGTTGCGGAAAGCAACTACGGGCGAAGACCAACCAATGCAATTCTGGGGATATAGATGGGTTTGGTTCAGTATCGCTTTTTTAGTATTGAGCATGTTTCTGTGTCTTTTCTTATATGCTTTTAGGATCATCAAATGATGTAGCTTATTGTATATTGTTTCGTTCTGATTATTCGATTGTGTTCCCTGCCGTGTCTGTGAGTTGATAATTATGTGGTGTTAAAGTGGATGGCCATCTTCGCATTCACCAGTGAGGAAGGGGGAGCTTTAGACGTTTCACTGTGTATGCGAAGTATTTATCTTTGTACATTCTTGCTTGAGGCGACAGGCCTCCTATTACGACTGCTACCACTACTTTATGGCCGCATTTCTATCCTTAACTCCCAGCGGCGGGCTGCCTTTCATGAACAGCAGGCGCAGTCAAGGGTTTCGAACGGTTTGGTGTCAACCCACCATATTGGGCTCCAGCTAGAACAATGGCGGATCATTTGCGGCATGGACGATCAGGAGCAGGCCCACTCAATAATATACAACGGGGCGACTGTTCAATGACACGCTCCATATCACATCTTCAAATTCGCTAAGGTCGACTCGACCGTAGAATTATTAATGACGCCGCGCCTCTGGAACCAGCCGGGTATTCTCACATTTGTTACCGGTGGGCGACAACGATTCCTAGAATAGGATCTCAATGTCTTCATCAAATCCCTCCAGAAGGGCAATGGTTACAGCCAGAGCAAATTTGTTGCCGAACAGCCCGTATCGATGTTTGCGAGTCGCCAGTCAACGCATCATATTGTTGTTGTCCGGCCAGGCCGGATAGTTGGTATTGAGACAGAGGGCATCTCCAATGCTGATGGCTTCCTACGGAGATTTGTGCGGACACGTCTTTAACTGGGAAGGTACCTCGCCAACGAGGGCCATCTGTGGCCGGCCGTGGCCGATGTGGAAGTGGCAATTGGCAATCTCAGGTCCACGTTCGGCGTCACAAAAAAGATGCGGTCCCCTCAGCCGTGAGTATTGAAGCTGGTGTTGCGGTTTCGCATTTCTGGGATATTCTTCAAGATACCCTGGAAGTCAAACTAGTACCCATGATGGCCGAGGACTGGAAACAAGCTGTGGAGCTCTTCCTTGAAACGGCAGAAGAAAACCGCGCCTTCCAACCTTTACTGGTCATGCTGCAGGTATCACGGCTTAGCTTTGGAGTAAAGAAGCCGCTCGGGAGCAGTCAAAGAATATACAGACTCTCGTGAATGTTGGGTTTTCGTCCACAGTACGGCATCCTGACTCGAATAATTCTGAAGTACTGACGGTTCAGCTTGCACTTCCACTGATTTCAAGCATTATTTTAGGTATAGACTGTCCCTTCTTCATTCCTTATAAATCTCCGTATATATCGAGCTCCTGGACCTGGCGTTGTAGTGACGTTTGAACCAGTAAATTTGTGAATAACAACCGGTTATCAGAGAAGGAATGAGTAATATTGAGCTAAATAACAGAAAGAAGAGTCTCAAGGTAGCATAGGAAAGTATATAGTGGAGACCTGTATACAATCTGCTCACCAGAACGCAGGTCAGCCCACTGCCCCCCCCAGACCTCGGACCACCGGCGCCGATTTTCCGTGTGTCACATGACCTTATCCCACCGCCGGTCGGCTGAGCTTAGAACTATTTTTTACAAATAGAAGACAATCTTTACTATGACTACTACTACTGTTAGTAAATTATATATTTTTAAACTAGTTTAGTTAAGAACTAGTTCTCTATAGATTATTACTATCTATACTTTATATATTCTTAAGATATAAATCTCTTTAAACTAGTTTAGTCAAGAGCTAGTTCTCTATAAATTATTACTAATTTACTATCTATATTTTATATATTCTTAAGATATAAATCTTAAACTAGTTTAGCCAAGAACTAGTTCTCTACAATATTATAATAAATAGATTATATTTTTTAAATTTAATTTAAACTAGTTTAATAAAAAACTTACAGAATATTTACAGAACAGAAAAATTTATTTTATTCAACCGGTACGATGAGCAATTTAAAAAGGGTTAGTACATGCTTCGGAAAATCGGCGCCGGTGGTCCGAGGTCCGGGGGGGGCAGTGGGCTCACCTGTAGTCACTCTGCTCACTTGATTGAATACACTAGGTCATGTGAATATCGGCAATGCAAACAAGACAAACACAGGATCCGCGATGCTTCATCGGAACTCTCCAATCACCTCAATAACACGATCCCTCAATGCCTTGAGTTTTAATCCATATATAAGTGAGGAGAGACGTGATGTTATAATTGAAGTCTAATAGACTTGATCGTTCTTGTATTTGGATTGATGACTCGATTGGAAGCGCTGTACCGCTAAGTACGAGACCAATCCAACTCCGTCGCCGACTTCGAGGTTGGCCGATGAGCGACGCCTTAAAACTGCAAAGATGTTTACGTTCACACCTTTGCTTGGCGCACAGTCGTCCTCCTCGAAGGCTTCTCAGTCAATCTTAGAACTGGATGGTGGAATCAAAATCCTTGTGGACGTCGGCTGGGATGATACCTTTGATCCTCTGGATTTGCAGGAACTAGAAAAGTAAGCTCCGTTGTATAATAACAAGACAGCTAGCTTGTCTTCCTTTTAAATGATCCTTGGTCTGATTGATTATGGTAGACATGTTCCCACCCTTTCGTTGATCCTTCTGACCCACGCTACCCCTGCGCATATTGGTGCCTTCGCGCATTGCTGCAAGACCTTCCCTCTTTTTACTCAGATTCCCGTCTACGCCACGAGCCCCGTTATTGCGCTTGGTCGCACGCTGTTACAGGACCTATACGCCTCCTCGCCACTAGCTGCAACATTCCTACCCAAAGCCTCAATTTCTGAGCCGGGCGCATCTACTTCTGCAGCATCTGCCACAGCATCCGTACCAGAAGGCGAAGGAGGCGCAGATGCTAACCATTCCGGAAGAATCCTCCTCCAACCTCCTACCGCAGAGGAAATTGCCAGATACTTCTCCCTGATCCATCCCTTAAAGTACTCGCAACCACACCAACCACTTCCTTCCCCCTTTTCCCCTCCACTGAACGGCCTTACGCTCACGGCTTACAATGCTGGACACACTGTGGGAGGAACAATATGGCATATACAACATGGCATGGAATCGATTGTTTACGCTGTCGATTGGAACCAAGCACGAGAGAGTGTAATGGCAGGTGCTGCATGGTTCGGCGGGTCAGGCGCCAGTGGGACGGAGGTCATAGAGCAATTACGCAAACCCACCGCGTTGGTATGTAGTACAAGGGGGGGTGACAAGTTTGCCCTTCCAGGAGGACGAAAAAAGCGAGATGACTTACTATTGGATATGATTCGGAGTACTATCGCCAAAGGAGGCACTGTTTTGATTCCCACTGATACTAGCGCTCGAGTCTTGGAATTGGCATATGCGCTGGAGCATGCATGGCGCGATACTGCTGGAACAGGACAAGAGGATAATGTTCTAAAGGAGGCCGGGCTATACCTCGCAGGTAGGAAGGCTAACACGACGATGAGGTTGGCCCGGAGTATGCTAGAGTGGATGGACGAGAATATTGTGCGAGAGTTTGAGGCCGCGGAAGGTGTAGATGCGGCTACGGGTCAATCTCGAACTAATCCCGGCGGCCAACGTTCTGGCCAAAACCAGGGCAAAGAAGAGAAAGGCACTGGCCCCTTTACTTTCAAACACCTGAAGATCGTTGAGAGGAAAAAGAAGTTGGAGAAGATTCTTAACAACCAGACACCCAAAGTCATTTTGGCTTCCGACACGTCACTGGACTGGGGTTTTGCAAAGGAATCCCTCCGCCTGGTAGCGGGGGGCCCGAACAACCTTCTCCTACTCACAGAGTCTTTCCATAAGGAGAGGCTTGCCGACAACCAGGAAGATCTTCATCGGAAAACTCTGGGTAATATGATCTGGGACTGGTATGAAGAAAGGAAAGATGGTGTCGCACTTGAGAAATCTTCCGACGGTGAGATGATTGAACAGGTTCACAGCGGTGGTCGAGAACTCTCCTGGTCAGACGTGCATCGTGCACCTCTAGATCCTGGTGAACAACTACTCTATCAACAATATCTCGCCACAAAGAGACAACTACAAGATACTTCCCAAGCAAGGGGGCAGGAGAACTTGGATAACGCAGCGGATGCGCTTGATGACCGATCTAGTTCCACATCCGAAGACTCCGAGACAGAACAGCAGGGACGGGTCCTAAATTTCTCAACTTCATTAGCTCATTCCAATCGCAACAAACTCGGTCTCAGCGATGAAGACCTTGGTGTCAACATCCTTTTACGGCGGAAGAACGTGTTCGACTGGGATGTCCGGGGCAAGAAGGGCCGCGAACGAATGTTCCCATATGTAGCACCAAGAAAGAAGGGAGACGAGTATGGAGAATTTATCCGACCTGAGGAATACCTACGAGCAGAAGAGCGTGAAGAGATCGATATGCAACAGCGCAGATCTGACTCTCAAACCAAGCTTGGTCAGAAACGACGATGGGATGAAACAGGACCGGGCGGGCGTCGGTTGTCTAGCAGCGGGGCCAAACGTCAACAATTCCCTGGAAAGAAGGACGCCAGCACAGCGGACGATATGAGCTTGACAGAGGATGGAGAAGGTGGTGATGCTGCCCTAGAGTCAGAAGACGAAGCGGATGGTCAGACGTTCGAGGGGCCCGCAAAAGCGGTCTATCAGAAGGCTAGTCTCACTATCAATGCTCGTATCGCTTTCGTAGACTTTACGGGATTGCACGATAAGCGGAGCTTGGAGATGCTGATCCCGCTCATTCAACCACGCAAACTGATTCTAGTGGGCGGGATGAAGGAGGAGACCACGGCCCTTGCAACAGAGTGCAAGAAGCTCCTCGCAGCCAAGGCTGGAGTTGATGTCTCCGCTGCGGACTCTGCTGTGATTTACACCCCGGCTGTTGGAGAAGTTATTGATGCTAGCGTTGATACAAACGCCTGGATGGTCAAGTTGAGCAACAGTCTCGTTCGGCGCCTGAAATGGCAGCATGTCCGTAGTCTTGGCGTGGTGACATTGACTGCACAGTTGAGGGGTCCTGAATTGAACCCCCCAGAGGACGCAGCGGACTCCCCAAGTAAAAAGCAAAAACTGTTGCAAGAAGAGGCTAGTTCACAAGCTACGGCACCTACCGTCGACGGCACGAAACCAACAGCAGACAAGTCTGATGTCTACCCGGTGCTTGATATACTTCCCGCCAACATAGCAGCAGGAACGAGATCTATGACTCGCCCTCTCCATGTGGGCGATTTGCGACTTGCGGATCTCCGCAAGATCATGCAGGGAGCCGGCCACACGGCCGAGTTCCGTGGTGAAGGAACGCTTCTCATTGACCGGATGGTCGCCGTCCGCAAATCAGGTACAGGAAAGATCGAGATTGAAGCTACGGCTCAATCAGCTGCTGCTGTAGGACGTGGGGCTGGAAGCTTCCTGGACGTGAAGAGGAAAATTTACGAGGGACTGGCTGTTGTTGCAGGTAATTGATTGTAAACTAAACATTATACTTATACCTACTACAATTTGAAGCAATCGGAAACCCCGAAAATCGACATTGCCCGATATAGCAAGTATAGAGAATCAGAACCCCAGTCCACCGCCAAAAGGTAAAGCGAATATAACCCTGTGTAAAATTCTCTAATTACTGAAGGGAAGTAGAATAGCCAACATCCACCGTCCCATAACCATTACCCAGATCGTCGGTAGATACCTCTTGGATGTGATCGTCCGTTCGAGGGCCCTTGTATATCCTAGGTGAACAAGCGCACATACGTCAGCCTCCTATCCCAACCCATGACCAAGAAAATAAAAGAAAAAAGAAAACTTCACTTACCCCCGTGCAGCAACCCACCACCATACCAAAGCAAAAGCGGCAATGAATGCGCCAACACATATACCATAATTCCTAGTAACCCAGTCAGCCACCACCCACGTCACGACTTATGTACTGTTCCCAGGCACAGCACCGGAAGCGGGCGTAAATGACATGCAACTTACATATTAGTCACTGTGATAGGCACACGAGGCGGGAAAAACAACACCGCGCTAATGAACAGTACCCAGATCACAGACACCCAGTTGATAAACGGACCCCATCTTCCCAATGTGAAGGGCCCCTCGATGAACTTGACTCTGTTCTTGTAGATTCTGTGCGCTAAGATTACGGATATATAGGATATGTCGAGTGCCGGGGCAGTGATGCTGAAGATCGCGGTGGCGGTTTCGGTCGAGCCGATGGCAATGCAGTTCAGGCAGATGCTGAAGAAGACGACGAACCAGACGGCGTTGACCGGCGTGTGAGTGTATTTGTTTACTTTGGAGAGGGTGCTGAATATTTAGGTATTAGTAGCCTTGTTTTCCCCAAGTCAGCTTCTTCAGAGGATACGCACGAGGAAAATGGAAGCGCTTCGTCACGGGCGAAGGCATAAGCCATCCTTGTGTCTGCCAGCATGGCTGAACAGCCGGTGAAGAATTGGACTAGGATTGCTAAACCCCACATCATTGTTCCTCCCCTTTTGCCTCCTGCGTTGAGGAAGATCTGGGCTGCGGGAAGCCCGGTGGGGCTGTTGAGGATGCCTTCGAAGTCGCTCAGACAGAAGCACATTGAGATAGTGAGAATCCAGCCTAGTGCGCCGGAGACGAGGACTGCACTCTGAATGGCTATAGGTCCCAGAGTGGCGGCGTCGTGGGTTTCTTCGGACATGCTTGTTCTTAGTCAGTAGTTGAATTTTTTTTTTTTTCTAGAGGACACCAGCATAGAAACGCACTGAGTAGTTCCGTCATAGTCTGTCATTGTCCATGCCACAGAGATGAATCCGAGCAGGAAGGAAAAGAATTTCGAGCCCCATCCTGAACCGTCGGTGAAGTGGGTGAAGACCCAGCTGGCTGGTTGTTTGTCGGGTGTATAGGCAAGGAGCACAATGCAGATGATAATCGTTGCGGAAACTGTGATTGTCAGACCCAACTTGACAAATATGCGGGGCATCGTGCATACTGTTGATGGGAGCGAACCAATATACTATCCGATGCAAGGTCCTGGTCGTTAAGGAGCATATAGCCCCCAATATACACAAGAGAAATATGGATAAGAGAACCGTTTCCAATGCGGTCCTGTATAAGTTAGGTCGAGACGAGGAGTAGGAAAGATTAAAGCATACGGTGAATATGAATATCTTCCATCAACCAGTTCTGAGTTCATGCTAACGCAGGCAAGTAGCATCTGACTGACTGTGTAGACAACACTGGATACACCAGCAGTTTGGCCGAGAAGGTTACACCAGCCCTGCACCCAAGAAAAGATAGGCACTTGTTCTTCGGGGACAACGTGCTTAGTGACAAAGTACATTCCTCCCGCTGTGGGATACGCAGAAACTAACTCTGCCACCGAACTGCCGATACACATCGCCATACATGAGCCAAAGAACCAGCACCATACGGCTGTAGCTGGGCCGCCTGCAGCCAGGGGAGAACCAAAGGTTGCAGGGACAGAGCCCAGGATACCTAGGATAGAGATGGCGTAAGAGACCGTAGACCATTTTGAAAATTCTCGACGCAATTCCTAGGGACCAGTGATTAAAACTTTACTAGAATATGTCTGGGTTTAATGTATACCTGTTTATAGCCAATCCGAGCCAGAAGAAGCTCGTCATCGTCGCGAATGCTCGCCATTGTATGAGACACTGACGAAAGATATAGTGCGTATGTTTTTTTGCTTCTTCTTCTTCTTCTTCTTTTTCAATGGGTACTGACAAGATAGCGAAGTCAAAATGATAATGGAAAAATATAGCATGGGTCGCTGAGAGGTAACAGTACTTTAATGGCAAGTTTAATATAACGCGTGTCAATGGACCAAGACGTGAATACATTGCAGTTGTGTCACAGGTGCGAAGAGACGGTGAGAAAAGCCCCGCCGATCTAAAACAGCGCCGACATAGTCTGATATATAACGGCAAGCTCACGAAGAATTGCAAGTTACAAGTAGCACAGACCAAAACAATTGTGTCTATCAGAGGAATAATTACACCGGGACCAGGAAGAAGATTTATTCAGTTTATATCAGAAGGAATTAAGAGCATAATGACTCGGCCAGGGGCCTTATCGTGGCATTGCGCAATATTGATAAGCCCAGCAAGGGAGACAGACCATTCGGGATAACTACCCTCGGAAATTAATCGAATGAATCAATCTAAGATATCCATTGAATTCACCCTTTCATCTCTAGACTCTCCAATCTTCTATTCTTTTGGGTTGGCGATTAGATTGATTAGGGTGTATCATACCCCGTGCCAGTTTCGGAACAACATATGTCCGTCGGCCTTCAGATTAGGTGTTCAGTTGCTTGATTGGGTTAACGGATTTGTTTGGATATACTCCGTACTTGTCGCCCTTTTCGCCCAAGCTCCGTTCAGTGATGGTCCGGTGCTAATCGGTCGTGGGCTGTAAAGACCTACATTTCTCGTTCTTCCTTCCTTAAGTCTGTTCATAAAATTATGAAGCACCATGGCAGACCAATCCATGTATAACACGCTCGGTCAGGGAGCCGCTCCCGCTGAAGACCCCTCGAATCCGAATCAGATGGCTCACCAAGTTCCTCCACAATCACAACCTGCTGCCGGATTTCCTTCCGGTCCTTACCCTCCTCAGCCCGGTGCTTACTACGGGAACCCGTCTCCAAATCAATATGGTGCACCTGCTGCTGCACCACCACCAGCACAGCAGCTGCAATCTCCACCGCCGCGGGGCCTGGCACCTAGTCCTCAACTCGCCTACGGTACCGAGACACAGACACATATGGGAGCCCCTGCCGACTCAATGGCAGGGTTGAATTCGCAGATGAGTGGCTTGGGAATAATGGGGGATAGCGGCGCCCGGCCAGGAAAGAAGAAGCACCGACATGCGCACCATGAAATTGGAGGAGCTACTGCTTTGGCGCCTCAGCAATTTGCCGGAATGCCGCAGGCAGGCATGCAGCCCTCATCTCAGTTCCTGAATACTGGATTGAACCAGGCACCTCGTCCGATCTCACCCGCCGCTGGTGTTCCGCCTGCGGGGATTGTCCCTCAGCCTGGTGTTCCGGCCACAGGCTCTGACTCTGTCCCTACCCAGGGCAAGATTGATCCGGAACAGATTCCAAGCATCCCCCGGTCTCGCGACATACCGGCACAGTACTACTTCAACCATGTCTACCCGACGATGGAACGGCATCTGCCCCCTCCGGCAGCTGTCCCCTTTGTGGCCCACGACCAAGGGAACTCATCCCCTAAACATGCCCGCCTGACCCTGAACAACATCCCCACCACCTCAGACTTCCTCTCTTCCACCGCCCTGCCTCTAGGAATGGTTCTACAGCCCCTGGCTCGCCTCGACCCCGGCGAACCTGAGGTCCCAGTGCTCGATTTTGGAGAAATGGGTCCTCCGCGATGCCGGAGGTGCAGGGCATACATCAATCCTTTTATGACGTTTAAGTCCGGAGGAAGCAAGTTCGTCTGTAACATGTGCACCTTCCCTAATGATGTAGCGTCGGAATACTTTGCTCCTCTGGATATGTCCGGGGCGCGTGTTGACCGTCTGCAACGCCCAGAGTTGATGATGGGTACAGTTGAGTTCATGGTCCCGAAGGAGTACTGGAACAAGGAGCCCGTTGGTCTTCAGCGGCTCTTCTTGATTGACGTCAGTCAAGAATCGGTTAACAGGGGTTTCTTGAAGGGGGTGTGCAAAGGAATCACGGAAGCTTTATACGGCGCACCAGATGCTTCTGAAGGGGATGCAGCAGCGCGGCGAGTGCCTGAGGGCTCGAAGATCGGTATTGTCACCTACGATAGAGAAGTGCACTTTTACAATCTCAGCGTGAGTCTACGTGTGCGTTAAAACCCCCACAATATACTTACAATACCTAGTCACAACTTGATCAGGCACAGATGATGGTGATGACAGATTTGGAGGAGCCATTCGTTCCCTTGAGCGAGGGCCTGTTTGTAGATCCCTATGAATCAAAGTACGCAAACAATCCTTGCACAGTTTGACGAATACATATCTCTAACATCTCTCCATAGGGATATCATTACTTCTCTGCTACATCAAATCCCCAAGATGTTCTCACACATGAAGAAACCTGAACCAGCTCTGCTCCCAGCTCTCAATGCGGCAATGTCTGCCCTGCAAGCTACCGGTGGAAAGATTTTCGCGTCTATATGCAGCTTACCCACTTGGGGCCCTGGCGCGTTGCATATGAGGGACGACCCTAAGGTGCATGGCACGGATGCAGAACGGAAATTATTTACCACAGACAACCAGGCATGGAGAACGACTGCTGGGAAGATGGCCGAACACGGCATCGGTGTTGACATGTTTGTGGCGGCACCTGGGGGGACGTATATTGATGTGGCTACGATAGGTAGGCTTTCTACGTTTTCATTGCTGCAGACCAGATGGATGTTAATGCTATCTAGGTCATGTCGCCGAAGTATCAGGCGGGGAAACATTTTTCTACCCCAATTTCCACGCTCCGCGAGACATTCTGAAGCTTTCGCAGGAGTTCGCTCATGCAGTTACTCGCGAGACAGGCTATCAGGCAATGATGAAAGTCCGTTGTTCCAACGGTCTCCAGGTATCGGCGTACCATGGTAACTTTATACAACATGCTCTCGGGGCGGACCTGGAGATCGGATCAATTGACGCCGACAAAGCGATTGGTGTCAACTTCAGCTATGATGGCAAGCTTGACCCCAAATTGGATGCCCATTTCCAAGCCGCCTTGCTGTATACTACGGCCGAAGGGCAGCGACGGGTGCGCTGTATCAATGTGGTAGCAGCAGTCAATGAAGGAGGGTTGGAGACGATGAAATTCATAGACCAGGACGCTGTTGTCAGTATTATGGCTAAAGAAGGTAGGTTAACCTAGCGGTGTTATTCGGAGCAGACATGCTGACAGTCTTAACCACAGCGGCTGCCAAAACTGTGGACAAATCACTCAAGGACGTTCGGGCCAGTATTACGGAGAAGACCGTGGACATCTTCAGCGGATATCGCAAGGTCTTCTCTGGGTCACACCCACCCGGACAACTTGTACTCCCGGAGAATCTCAAGGAGCTTTCCATGTATATGCTGGGCCTCGTCAAATCACGAGCATTCAAGGGTAGGGACGGTTACATCCGGATTACACGTGAGAGTGGCTAACTTGAATACACAGGCGGCCAAGAAGCATCGGACCGACGGATTCACGACATGCGGATGTTACGCTCGATTGGGGTCACAGAACTATCCCTGTACCTGTATCCCCGGATCATTCCGATCCACAACATGCAACCCGAAGATGGGTTCCCCAATGAGCAAGGACAGCTGCAGGTCCCACCGTCCCTACGAGCCAGCTTCTCCAAGATTGAGGAGGGTGGGGCGTACCTCGTCGACAATGGCCAGATCTGTCTGTTGTGGCTCCATTCCCACGTGTCACCTAACCTGCTGGAGGATCTCTTTGGACCTGGGCAGTCGTCTCTTCAGGGACTCAATCCCCAGACGTCGTCGCTCCCCGTCTTGGAGACCCATTTGAATGCGCAAGTGCGCAATCTACTACAGTACTTCTCGACTATCCGAGGGTCCAAGTCAGTTGCGATCCAGTTGGCTCGCCAAGGGTTGGATGGGGCAGAGTATGAGTTCGCACGGCTACTGGTGGAGGACCGCAACAACGAAGCGCAGAGTTACGTGGATTGGCTGGTACACATTCATCGGCAAATCAACTTGGAGCTGGCGGGTCATCGCAAGCGCGAGGATACATCTGCCGAGGGGTCGTTGACCAGTCTCGCCGGTCTTCGCGCTCCATATTGGTGATAATATAGACTACCCCAAATTTCATTGTTTCGTTGATATTCTTTACTTTGTATTTTGGTCGCTTTCGAGTGAGAGTTACGCGCTAGTATACCACAGAAGTTGATGTTCCCTGGACCGTATTTCTTGGAGCGAGATTTAATTTTTAAGGCTTTGTTTCATCACGAGAACAGCAAAAAGAGCGCTGTAGCGAGGGCCCAGGGTTAACACAGTGGACCGCCGACAAGGATCCCTGCAAAAGTCTAGAACGCCGAACCGAACTCCCCAAGAATAATAGACTACACACTAGTCGAGTGACAACGAGTCCATGGTGAGATCGTCGCGGAAACGTCGGAGACTAAAGGGAACGGTGTGGTGATAAAGGCAAGTCAAGCGCTTGGCAAGGAGTGGATCAGCAGCCGACTTTGATGGTCTGTGTACAGAGTAAGGCGTGGCAGTATCTGGGGGGGAAAAAAGAGAGAATGACAAGAAAAAAAGAAAAAAAGAAAAAAAGGCTCCTCAAGTGCCATGACTTGTCATCCTTGGAAAGGTCGTCGTTTTTACCCTTTCAGCCAAAACCTCCGTCCTCGCCAAGGGTGTCATGGAGGCCATAAAAACTTGCACATGGCGACGACGTCTTTCCCGGCAGGCGGACCACAGGACAGAGAGTGATTGAACCCTCAATGAACCCCTCGTTTTCTCTCCACACAAGACCAATAATAAGTGAGGCGAACCATGGGAACCAGCTTAGAAATGTAAAGAATTCTCGAAAGAAGTTCATTACTCATTCAGGAAGCTTTCTCGAACGACACGGTCTTTGTTCGGAGGGAATCCGTGGTTGTAATCCTTTTTTTGCCTTCGACGGAACCAGGGTTAGGGCTGGCCAAGCGTATTACCACTTCATCCGTCGAAGCCGTGGATGGCATTCCCGCGGGTTTCTCTTACAAAATCTTTATTTCCACGCAAACTACTCGCTCAGCCACGACCTAGGGTTTTTCTATGAGGAAAAGAAGCGGGTGGATCAACGAGATCGAGTGGGACGCGCTGATCCCATCTGGATTCTGCTCAAGCCTGGATTTTGAAGAGTGGAAATGGAAGTGTGGGAGGGAAAATGGAGCCGATGGCAAGTGCACCCATTGTGGTTCTCCACTACTCACGACTCAGTACAGGCTGTATGCATGTAATCATTGTCAGCTGCAGTGTCGAACCCCTCGTAGAAAGTAGATCGGGTATGAATCTGGACGGTGTGAGCTATTGCGCCGACAGAATCTAATCTTATTCTCAGTCGACGAGTAAAGCACGTAGGACAGGACCTGTCAGCGCGACTGCTATTGCAGTAAGTCCGCGGCCGTGGACGAGTCACAACCAAGTCCCCAAAGTGACGGCAGTATATCCCGTTGTCTAGTGCCGGAGTGTCGTTCCATTTTCCACCAGATTCCCTCCACGTTTAGCCCTAGTCCCCCGTGGCGTCGAAGTCAAACCATGTATCCGATGTCAGGAACAACCTTTTTCAACGTCATGCCAGCGAACCAGAGTTAGTCCCCTGAATGGACCCATATTACAGTCTTGTTTGGGTATTCATGTGGATCTTTTTTTCCCTTTTTCCCTTTTTCTCGTTTTCTTTCTCTAGAGTTTTCTTGTCGTCCCAGACTTTACCGGTCTGTCAGGTACCAACAGTTGGAGATCATTGCCGCCATGATGCCTTCCCAAAAAGTTATATAAACCCTGACGAGGTCCATCCTAAACCGTCTCTTCTTCTTCAACCATCGACATTCTCTTATACATTCTCTAGACAAGCTCTGTCTGTCCTTCCTTTCGAGATCGAATCTCGTCCTTCTTTTACCACCCACTTAAAAAAAGTTTCATCCTTGCGTCTGTAGAACAGGCCCAGTCAATCTCTTGACTTCAGAAAACTCAAACAACTTCCAACACAATCTCATCACAGTCTTTCATCTTTTTTTTCCAAAAAAGACCCCCTCATTCAAAATGATGTTCAGCAAGACTATCACTTTGGCCGCTCTTGCCAGCCTCACTGCTGCTCTCCCCACTGCCAACCCCGTCAAGCGGAGCGGCGGTGTCAACATTGTCAACAACCTGGGTGAAACCGTTTACGCGTGGTCTGTTTCTGATAGAGTCAGTAACATGCATTCCCTTTCTGCGAACGGTGGCAACTACCAGGAATCCTGGCAAACCAACGAGAACGGCGGTGGCATCTCCATCAAGCTGTCCAACACCCAGGAGCAGTCCAACGTCCTCCAGTTTGAGTACACCCAGTCCGGTGACACCATCTACTGGGACATGAGCTGCATCGACCTCGGCGGAGAAAACGTCTTCACCAAGTACGGTTTCTCCGTCACCCCCTCCACCACTGACGGCAACTGCCCCTCTGTCAACTGCGCTGCCGGTGACACTGCCTGCGCCGAGGCTTACCTCAAGCCCGACGATGACCATGCTACTCACGGCTGCCCCATTGACACCTCCTTCAGTGTCAGCATTGGCAACTAAGCATCTTTGCTCTCCTTCTTTTAGCGAGATAAGATGACTTCACTACGCTCCTTTTTTGCTACATTGATTGCTTTTTCCTTTTTACCAAGGGTGACTACCTTGCGGTAAATATGATTCCCACGACGAATATGGGCAACGGAGTTCGGTACGGTGACAGGGACTGGGGGAAAAAAAGAAAAATTCTAAATTGACTTGCTTGATGCAAGATTGTGATACCACCATGACAGAGCTGACTCCTGGATGAGTGTTCACTCTCTTTTGGCTTGCCTTTTGCTTTTTTTCACGACTTCATGTATCTAGGATACAGGGGTGATTTGATATCACGATCACGAATTTCACGTGGGAGTTGAAACTACGTTGCTATAGAATAGACTTCTTTTATCAAAATTTATAGAATTTCTTGCTTTTATTTCTGGATTTTCTTATTGACTTCCTTGTAGTTAGTCTTCCCTTTTTTCTTCTCTTACTAATTTAGTAAGAGTGACGATGACTTGATGATTGATCGATGATTCTTTGATTTCAATCAGAAATGGAAAAATCAGAGCGTGACACGTAGTCTCGCAGTTCAGAAGTCCATGACTCACAGACTCAAGACGCATCCCAGGGTATCCGGGAACTTCTCGGCCACCGACAACTCGACTCAATTACTCGTTCTCTGATCGAACTTCTGGCCTGAACACTTGTTCGAATCACATGGGTTCTCCCTCGCCAATCCTACCGAACTCGTTTACCGGGGAACCGGGAAGGATGGACTAGGGTATCCGTACAGTGTTTCTCTTCCCTTTCCTCTCGCCTTACGTCGTTTCTCTCACACCAGGTCCAATTACAAGCCAAGGAAAGTCCGGCAAAGAAAAACCAAGACTAAGACATCGAACGTGAGGGAATTACAAGTCCACCTGTACCTAAGGGAAGTCCGAAGAACAGCCACAGTGGATCGGAGGGGTGTTGTACTAGTATCCACAGGACCCTCCGAAAACTGTTGAACATCTCAGATCCAAGGCGGTTTGAAGCTTGTCCAATGATCAATCAGCGTTGAGGGGGTCCGGTGTCGATACACGCAGAGCTTATGTAAGGTACCACCCGCCAAGTGTGGTTTGATTGGCTGAGTGGGTGGGGGGAAGTGCACTGGATTGTAAAAGCAGTTGGGCATGGCTTGGTTGGCTGGGATGAATGGGAATTGTTCTGTGATTGGTGAACGGGAGGTGGGTTCTGTCGTTGTCGGCCATTGGGCTTTTCCACTGCTTTTCAAGATTTCAACGGAAACGTTCGCAAGGCGTGTTTCAGGTGTTGTTTGAGGAGGAGGGGGTTCAGGGAGTTATTCCATTGTGGGATAGATATGGGAGAACTCATTTCTTTGATTGTGAGTGTGCTTTTCAAAGTTATCTGGCTGTTTGACTTGATGTTCCATGTTGTTGTGCTGTGTTGCCTTGGGGGTTTTCGCACAGACGGCAGAGTCTAGACCGTCGTGCATGACGAAGAAAATGGCTCAGTGGCAAGAAGTACTTGTCCTTGGTTTTTTTTCCCTTCTTTTTTTTTTTTTTTTTTCTTTTCTCCCTCTCTCTTGAACTGACTTTTTTTTTCGGAGTACCGTGCAACGAGCAAGTACCGAATCTCGCTGTCTCTCATTCGCCCTACACACACACAGATCCATCGCTCGGACGTCGACCGACTACTTCCGCGGATTCATTCTCATTGGATGGGTGATATGATATCTCCTAACAGTTAGTACTACTAAAACTACTGCTGTTATTTCCTTTCCCACCGCATCCCCTTCACCAGCCCGTAAGCTACCACCCGATAAATTATCGTACAAACACCCAAGGCCATCACGTTCATCGCCCCGTTCTTGTCCAGATTGTAGAGTCGGAGCACCTGCTGTCCGTTCTGGATTGGACAACTTCCATCCGCCAATCGCTGGGCCGCCGTACACACGAACTCCTGGTTCCGCATAGCATAGGGTGCCAGGTTGGCGACGGCATATTTGACGGGCGAGAGGTGGTTGAGCCCCTGGAGAACCTCGTTGACGTTCAGGCTCATGACACCGCCTAAGATGTTCGCGATGGAGAGCAAGATTGACGTCACGTTGACTGCGAACCCAACGTGCGAGAAGAGCGTGCAGAACATGATGCCCAGCGACTCACCGCAGCTGACGATGCAGAAACAGTTGTACGCGCAGATCAGGAACATCGTGGGACTGCGCCCGAGGTTGTCCGCGTATGCGGCCAGGACGCCGAAGATGAGGGACGACAGCACCTCGAAGGGCACCTCCAATGTGGTGTACTGCAGGATGAATGTCTCAGCCGAGTAACAATGGTCGGCCTCCTCGCGGTAGAACACATCGCGTTCGTTGGGGTAGATGGCGATGTTTTGAAGCATTCCTGCCCGGTTTTTGGTTAGTCTATACATGCAAGTTTAACTAGAGCCGTAGGTAAGGGGGTCCCAACGCACCCACAAAGTACAAGGCGCCAAACTCCTGGACGAAGCCCATCCGTGATTGCACCGCGGCGTAATCGTTCTTCAAGGGCGCAAAGAACAATGCCATGATAATTGCAATCCCCACGACCTGCATTGATCGTGCCATGACGAGCGGTGGCTGTCGCCAGAAATTAATCGCTGACCGATGCAGCACCAAGGGGTACGTGATCCGAAATGGGAGCATCTGCCGCTTCAGGCTGCCCAGTTCGGCTGGCGTAGCGATGTGAGATGTTCGCCGTCCGTGATCGAATGTCTTGCGATCCCAGCCGACAATGAGCTTCTGGACCCTCTCGCGGGTCACCGCTTCTCGGTCTGCTTGTTGTAGGTCCACCGTAATCAAGTCCAGCACGAAGTCAGCTGGGTTGGTTGTCTGCGGACAGTGGTAGCCCAATGCCCCAAAGTGTGACAACATAGTTGCGCCCTTTCCCGCATACACCGGATAGCCCCCTCGCGCAAGAAGCAAAACACTGGAGAAATGTTGGAACAAATCCGATCGGGCCTGATGGATGGTCATGACCAGAGTGCGCCCCTCTTCGGCGAGTCCCTTGAGAACCTCAATGATAGACATGGCCGTAAAAGCATCCAGGCCTGAAGTGGGCTCGTCGAGCAGTAACACTTTCGGATCGGTCAGGATCTGAATGGCGATCGTGACGCGCCTTTTCTCTCCACCACTGATGCCTTTGATCAGTTCGCTCCCAATCATATTATCGGCACACTCTTTCAACCCCAGCTTGAGCAGAACCTCTTCCGCCCGGCGGTTCTTCTCCTCTCGTGACATCCAAAGGGGTAATCGTAGTCCCGCCGCGAATCGAAGACTCTCGCGTACTGTTAGTGATGGCATCAACGCATCGTCATCTTGGGTCACAAATGACGTGACAGAGCGGATGACGCTTTCGGAGGGAACAGCCCCATTGTATAGCATGTCGCCATGGACCCGGTACTGTGTGTTCAATGAACCATGTAGTCGTCGCGCAACAGAGTTGAGGAGCGACGTCTTCCCGCTGCCCGAGGGGCCCATAATCACGTTCAGATGCCCTGGCTGAAACTCTGTGGTGATGGGTTTGAGAATGGACAATGTTTGCGATCCTCGTCCAAAGAATCCTCGTTTTCGTATGTCAAGAGCATACTTATCTAGTGATATTGATACTTTGTGCGCTTCCTCGGCTGGCCGGACGGCCATCTTCTCCCGCCCAGTACGCATATCTTTATCGGTCTTCCGTGCCTGTGCTATATCCATTGCAAAGTGGTTGTACTGTAGAAGAAGACCAGCCAAGAAGTAATGGCCAACGACAAACGCCACTAATACAACGATTGGCCGCCATATCCAATCATGAGGGAATCCCAGGCTCTCCATGATATACCGACCCGTATATTGCGTGCACGCAGGATCATTGGGGTCGTCGGAATATGGACAATCGTAGAACTGGCCTTCGGGTGGTCCATTGGAGCCAATAAACTCATTGGCACATAGCGCCCCAAAGATATAGAAGGTATACGCCACCCACTTTAGCCAACGCACATAGACCGGAATCTGATTTGACTGCACGAAGTAGCCGCACGCGAACGATTGCACCGTAAACGAGAGGTTGCCTACAAGACTGGCCCCAGGGAAGCTCCTGGCGATGCCGATGGAGACGGCCGCAAAGGTTACGGCAATGTAATGGGTGAGGATCGTAATGGCTAGAAAGATAAAAAATTGGTCCACACTCAGGCGGTACCCCACCATGAAATAGAAAATGATAGCGAAGATAACTGGAACAGGTAGATCTTCCAAAGGCAGTCTCGCTGCACGTCTACTCAATAAGAAAGCTGGAACCCCCACGACTCCTTCCGTTCTCTCTCGGTCAAACTGCCGTATGTCGATCGTTAGTCGATATGTCTCATAAAGGAGAATGAGATATCCGTTTAGGCTGCTTGAGGTATAAAGGCTTCCTTGTCGGGATCGAATCCCTGCTTGGCTCTCATCCAACTGCAAGAAGATCCAACCGCTGATGACACCCATGCCGATAGCCTCAAGGAGACTACCCGCGAGACCCATAGGATCACGAATTGTTGTCTTGAATGTACGAGAGGTGAGAACACAGAACTGCCGATTGAATGACACAGTTTTCGCCATCGGTATGTCTTGTGCCTGCATAGTTGAACCCTTACGCTTCTCTTCATCGTTCTGGGATTCCCACACTTCCTTGTCGGTCTTCCTTTCAGTTCTCCACGAAGTTTTGAGAAACTCAACTCTCGCCAGGGACGCTGCTTCCAACTCCTCTGTACGGTTGTCAATAGCCGCAAGATCGATCAGAAACTCCGCTGGATTGACAAAGGGAGGAAGCACATGGCCATGACTTTCGAAGTAAGTTAAAGACCCGCTTGACGGTCCACTATAAAGGACCGACCCCCGCGCTAGGAGAATGACATTATCAAAAAGATTCCAAATCTCTGAACGAGGGGCATGGATCGAGACGATGACTGTTCTCCCTTCTTGGGCAAGCCGTTTCAACGTTCGGACAATTTGAAAGGCGCTTGTCGCG